CACTGGATCCAAAACTCGAAAAAGATGCCCACTGGACACTAAAAAAGATGCCCACTGGACCCCCCTACCGTTCTGATGTGATGGCATGTGATATTTTTCTGAACGTTGTCATTGACATGCAGAGTTTTGCTCAGAGTGCAACTGCACTTGCATCGTCTATTGAGCTGTCATGTCAGTGCATATATTGGGCGAGATCTGCAGACATCTCCGGTTGCTTTCCACTGTTGGAATTCGCTGTCAAATCTTGAAGCGCGTGAGCTTTCACGGCAAGAGCTTTTCATTTCAGGCAGGATCACGAGTGAAAAGAAGCCGGCGCTTCAACAGCCTCGAGTGCCGCAGTGGTTCCATTTTCAAGCTCACGGGCATGTGTAGACATCTGAGCTGTGTTCTGTTCCCGCTAATCATCAGCCAGAAATGAACACTCCAAAAATCGAAAGTTGTACGGCTGAAGCCTTTCTGGTGGAGCTTCTCCCGCTTTGGGCTCCAGCATGCCTGGGGCAGGCCTTTCGCAAGCGTGATCGTTTCACAAGCAAGCTGTTTCACAGTTGTCAACACTTAATTGCTCCTGCCCTAAACTCTGCCAGCCATGTGGGATTCTTTTCAGATCCCACAACCGTCGAAATATTTGTCTTGTCGCATCCAGCAGACCCCTTCCTGTAACGTCAGAAAACCTACTGTACGCTGGAGCATAACACTCCGCCGATCCGAACAGCATGTGTGCCATTCAAGCTTTGTGTATGATTTTCTCAGGTCTTGTTGGACAACCTCTGGCCAACCTCCGTGCTGAAGGACCCTGACTCTCTCATTCCTGTAAAGACGTTCGGCACTCAGTGCAAGTGCTGTAATGCTGGCTGCGTTCGGCTTCTGCATCAGGTGGCTCTGCGAAAATCTACCTGAGCAAAGGTCGCGTTTCCAAGCCGTGCAGCAATTTGAAGCAGTGAGTCGCTCGCCAGTCCAATCTACCCAGTGGAGAGCCTCAGCGATGTGCCCGCGCGCGTGGCAGCTTCTGAAATCACCCGGGAGAAGTTGTAGTCCAGCCATGGTTTCTAAAAAATCATGACCAGCGGTTGGCCGATCAACAAGCTTTGGCAGGTTCAACGTACTCCGGGAAGAGGTGCCATACCAAATAGCGGCACAAAGCTTATGCTGTCAGCAAGACACCTTTGGATTATTGCATTGATTCGAGCCCCACAGCATGTGCATAGATCCAGGTCATCAACGTTGTTTGGCAGGAGGAGGAGGACGGCATGCTCCGACTTGGTCAAAGAGTCTGAAGCATATTGCCATAAGACTACATTAGCACCCCATGGGAAGAGCAGTCCGAGGTCATTGTTCACAATGAAGGACAGGTCCGCATTGTCCGCTCATGGTTTGTTCCTCAGCTCACTCGGCTGCATTGCTTCCACCGTTCATCCAGCAGCGACTGCCTAGGCTGAGACAGGTCACAGAGGAAGCTGAAGCGGATATTTCTGACATCATCAATTTGGGCAGGCAGGCATTAATTCCCACTCTCTCGGCTGAAGCGCGTTTTCATCAGGCCTGTGGAGCTCCACTTTCAGATCCAGGTTCGGATCTCAGCCCTACAATGCCTACAGCCTTCCCTGCCTAGAAGTTATGCTTTGTTCTTTGTTGGTGCCGAGGTTGATCCAAGATGGCAGGAGAAGAAAGATTACTATGAGGACCTTCAAGGTCTACTAGACCGTGGTGGCTCACTCTTGTTTCAGTAGCTCTGTCCTTTTATGCTGCCGGCGCTGGAAAGCGATGGAAGTCGCACCACGTCCCGGTTGACCACAACACGGGTGCAAGCATATGCCGCAGAAACTTGCGATTTGCAGAGAGAGCTGTCATCTGACTTGCCTAGGCATGTGCTTCGTAAATCAGCATGTTGCATGCATGGAAGCCTTTGTCATGAAATCATGCCTGCTGTATTTCACTCTGGCGGAGGATCATCATGCTCTTCTTAAAGTCACACCGAAGCTGATGAAACTGCTAGATGGCACGCAGAGCAGAAGCCATCCAACGGAGCGCAGAAGGGGAGGAGCAGGAGATCAGTTCATTTCTATGGCTTACACACGGTCCAAGGCTGACATGCGAATGTTAGCGTGCACACGCGGAATCCCCATCATCCGGGACAAATGTGCGGGGTGCACGCGCGGCAACAGTATTGTGCTAGCAGGCAGAAGTGCTGCGAATTTGAGCAGGGAGGACGGCGTGTGCTTGTGTGATAACAGATTGCAGCTGCTTGAGCGGTGCTCGTGCAAATGTTTTGAGTGTTGTCTGTTGTTGACAGGTCCATGTCAAGAAGTGTTGAAGTTATGTTGCCTGGAGACCGAAAGCTCGAACTCGACCTGCAGGTTGTCGTTCACAGCAAAGCATCTGATTCAGTTCATATGTCGTCCTTGTCGCTTCAATGCGAATCTCTGCGCCTTTTGCTGCTGCTCAAAGGCCTTGCGAATTGGGGTCATGATTTTGCTTGGTCCACCGTTCATCTGCTTCTGGCCATTGCTTTGAGCCAGGGACTTCGTTTTCTGCTTCGTTCTGCTGACTTTTGTTCTTACGCTGGATTCTTCGCGCTTCCCGCCTTTTGCTTCCTTGCTTTCAGCTCTTTTGGCTTGTTAATGTCGCTATTGCTGAAGAGTGTAGTTCTCGTCGTCTCTTGTTATTCCCCACATTCAGTGTGGGGTTGTAATTGTTTGTTGTGCCGTCGCCCGCCACTCTCCGCGTGCTCTTCCGTCGCGCAAACATTTTGGACGCGCTCATGTTCGCTTAAAAGTCGCGCTCTCGCTCGAGCCATCCTCAAAAAATCGGTGTTTTTTTTAATCGATTTTCGATCAACAAATACATGGCCTCGCCTTTAAAGTGCTCTTCGTAGGGGGGGTCGTTACCAAACCGGCCGCGTTCGTGAGTTTTGAAAATCGCGCTCCCGCGCGAGACATCCTCAAAAATGCGAGCTCCTCGAATTTTATAAACATTCAAAAATTGCGCTCTCGCGCGAGACAATTCGTTCTTTTCGACGTTTTGATGATGTTTGTATCTTCAAAAATCGCGATCCCGCTCCAGACATCTTCGAGATTCCTACTTTTCGCGCCGATGCAGAAGGGCATCATTCAGCAACAAAATGTACAGCCCGACAGTTCCAGAGCTCACCTCTTCGCCACTGTGCATGAGTTTATTGATGCTGTCGTAAGTGAGGTTGGTTGTGTACAAGTAGATCATCAAGCCGAGCTCAAGAAGTACTCGTCAATCATGTCCTGAATCTTCTCTGCATTTTCAGCGAACCCACCGACAAAGTCAATCAAAATTGCGCTCCCGTGCGGAGCATTCGGGAAATTCTGATCATGTATGAACGATGATTTCGAGGGTTTCTATACCAATCGTATACCAGACGGACGTCGTTCGAGGTGGCTCTCTTGGCTTAAGAGGGAGGTATTCAGCGGAGCTTTCTGGTATAGGATTGGTATAGGATTCGTCGGTATCGTCGACGTTTTGATCATCTTCGTATCTTCAAAAATTGCGCTCTCGCTCGAGACATCCTCGAAATTTTGTCGATTTCTCTTCATCAAAATCGATCAAGATTAAATCGCGCTCCCGTGCGGAGCATGCGGGAAATTCTGATCATTTATGAACGATGATGTCGAGGGTTTCTATACCAATCCTATACCAAACGAACGTCGTTCGTGGTGGCTTTCTTGGCTTAAGAGGGAGGTATTCGGCGGAGCTTTCCGGTATAGGATTGGTATAGGATTCGTCGGCATCGTCGTTGAAAATTTGATCGTTTACGGATGGATCCTATACCAATTCTATACCAAAATGCTCCGCTCAAGGTGGTCTTGTTTTGAAGAAATCGCGCTCCTGTGCGGAGCGTCCTGAAACATTTGAAGAAAATCGCGTTCTTGTGTGGAGCATCCTGAAAATATTGAAGAAAATCGCGCTCCCGTGCGGAGCATCCTGAACATTTTGAAGAAAATCGTGCTCCCGTGCGGAGCATCCTCGAAATTTCGTCGTTCTTTCGTTCAAAATTGCGCTCCCGTGCGGAGCATCCTGAAAATTTTGATGAAAATTGCGCTCCTGTGCGGAGCATCCTCAAAATTTCGTCGTTTCTTCATCAAAAATCCCGCTCCCGTGTGGAGCATCCTGAAAATTTTGAAGAGAATTGGAGCATCCTCAAAATTTCATCGACTGTTTGTTCAAAATCGCGCTGCCTTGCGGAGCATGCTCAGAATTCGGTCGATTTTTCATTACAGATGTATGACTATACATACATACATAAATACATGCATACATGCATGCATGCATGCATACATACATACATACATGTATGTATATATACATGTATATATATATGTGTTTATGTATATGTATATATGTCTGGCGCCTTGTTTTTTCAGAAAATGAGGACCTTTCACGGGTTCGAAGTCCCGAGATTTGAGCCCTGGTTTTTGGTCTTGTTTTGTGGGTCCCGGAAAACAAAGGGAAATAGGGATCTTATTTCCCTTCTTCCATCTCCGGAGAGCAAAGGGCAACAAGGATCTCAATTCCCTTCCCTTCTTCCATCCCGGGAAAACAAAAGGCAACAACGATCTCATTTCCCTTTTTCCATCTCCGTAGAGCAAAGGGACATGTAGGGAAATAAGGGTCTCATTGAGTCTCATTTCCCTTCTTCCATCTCGGGCAAACAACGGGCAACAAGGATTTCATTTCCTTTCTTCCATCTCCGGAAAGCAAGGGAAATACGGATCTTCTTTCCCTTCTTCCAATTCCGGCAAGCAAAGGGAAATAAGGATCTTATTTCCTTTCGTCCATCTCCGGAAAGCAAGAAGAAACAAGGATCTTATTTCCTTTCTTCCATCTCCGGAAAGTAAAGGGAAATAAAGGTCTCATTTCCCGTCTGCCATTTCGGGAAAACAAGGGGCAACAAGGATCTCAATTCCAGTCATCCATGTCCGGAAAGCAAGGGAAATAAGGAGCTTATTTCCTTAATTCCATCTCCAGTAGAGATCATGAGAGAGCGCACCGTGACGCCCAAAACTCCTTCAGTATCTTGAGGGAGCGCACCGTGACGCCCAAAACTCTTTCAGGATCTTGAGGGAGCGCACCGTGACGCCCAAAACTC